AAGTCCCAAACTTTCATTGCGGGCGGACACTGAAAGATTGCATGTGTAACTGATTCTTCTAACTCCCCACATCGTGGACAGTGGTTATCACATCTAATATGTTGATAGTTCAGAGTACTTGTAACAGCCACATGACATGTTTATTATTTGCCACATAAGATGACATATCTTCTGGGGTGCCTTAACCTTCCAAGCATGTGCCTGGAGTTTTGTGATGCTAGGTTCACAAACTGCAGGTTCCTCCTCCTTCTTCAGTATATTTCCTGCAATCTAATATCCAGAGTTTACTGTGTACTATCCATTTCTTGTATAACTCCAGCAATACGTATCCATGCGATATGTTGCACTAATCGCCATGCTCCTAATAAGTGGTATATCAGCCCCATCTATGTAGTTCTCCAACCGTTTCAGATCCCAAGACTTCGATTCTTGGTTAATGAGGTCGCTCACTCGCATATTCAGATGTAATACCGGTGCTGATGGGACCGCTGATCGCGCTGGAATGGTAGGGATCCATGGATCCTCCCATACTCTTACCTCGTATCCCGAATGTATCTTCTGCCTAATCCCCAACATTAATAATTCTCGTGCCGCTGATATACTTGTCCACACATACGATGGGCTACTGACAGTAAGTTGTCGCAATGACGAGCTTGATCGATAATGCCAGCCTCTCAAAACCCGAGCTACCAATGAAACTGGAAATTGAACCAATCTCCATAACTGCTTTGCTAACAGCGCCAGGTTAAACTCGTGAATCATTCTAAACCCAATCACTCCTTCCTCTTTAGATAGGCATAACTTATCCCATGTTGACCAATGAATAACTCTCTTTGGGGGATTCGAACTCCACCAGAACTGTGCAATGGCAATAGCTAAAGCATCACAAATCTCTAATGGAAGAAGGAAACATGACATCACATAAGTCGGGAGTGCTAACATGATCGACTTAAATCATAACTTCCTTGCCACCTTTTGATAACCATCGGCCCGTCCATCTATTCACTCTATTCCGTAACTTGTCGTTTAAGAATCCAAAAAGTTTGCATTTAGATCCACTGATATCCTCTTGGATTCCTAACTATGTCCTCATCCCTCCTTCATTCTAAATCCCAAGTGTGTCCTTAATCTCTCGCCTAGCATTCTGTCCTATTCTCTTACCAAAAAGTAGAGATGACTTATCAAAATTAATGCATTGTCTTGAGGCTTGTCCATATTTTCTGACCACTCTCATTACTTTTTCGCATTCACGGGGATTTGTCTTACAAAAGAATAGGTTATCATCAGGAAAGAGAAAGTGGGATACCGAAGGTCACACACGCGTGATGCACATCCCCGTTATCTTTCCTTGGTTCTCTGCGTGATTTAGAAGAGTAATGAACGCATCCGTGCATAGAATAAAAATGTTTGGCATACAACATAACAAATAATATCATATCGCTTTAAATCAATATGGAAACAAAAACAAGTTCTTTGAAAACTTATACAAAAATAAAACAAAAATGATGCACCCCACGTAGTACATCCAGCCTGTTCTTGGCTCTCAATTTTGTTGAGAAAAACATATAGATTACCACCAGAGCCTAACATCTTTTTGTTTACTTTTCTGATAGGAAACATCTAAGGCCGCTAGCATTGCATTATTACAAAGGCAACAAAAGATTAAGAGCTCAACATTGTTGTCTGTTGACAGTCGGAATATGGATTAAATAAGCAACCTATTGGCTCAATCTTCAAATATTAATTTGTACGGATTGAATTAAACGATTAAAAATGGATTAGTAAATAGCTCAAATAAACATGATTTTAACCTACTAACCAGGTAAAAACATATAACACTATTTTGCTTGTTTAAATAATAACATACATTAACAATCATTCAGCTATAATTTAGTATATACCTAATTCTCAACTAAATTAAAATACATGTATATTCATCTACAATATAACTATCAATTTAATCATTATTCAGTATAAGAATCCGAATAAGATAAAACTGGATTAGATCTGAATATGTCAAAATATAAACCCCTTATTAATATAATTATAAAGTAATAATATATTTATATCATAACTATACTGATAATTGGTTTAGTAATACGTGTTAGTTTAGTTATTAACTGGACCATTTTATTAATAATATTTATATATTAGATCATTTGAATAAAATATACTATAACACATAATAATATTTACTGTATCACCTTTCATTTTTGAATATTTCCTATTTACCCTAACAAAATCTTAGATAATATTTTACTTATTAATTTTAAATAATTTGTTAAATTCGTAATTAATATTAAATATTATAAATAAATAATATTAAAATATTAAATAAAATTACCATTTTTATAATATATTCTTTAAATATAAAAATTAGAATAATAAAATTTAATTTTAATAACAATAAATTATAAAAAATACAAAGTTATATTGTTTAATTATATGATTTTTAGTGTACAGTTGATGTTTTATGTTTGTAAATTAAATAAAAGAAATTTAGCTTATTTAAAATAAATAATCATTAAAATAAATTTTGATCAATAAGAAATGTATAAAAAAAAATATATCCATTTTTATTAGAAAACATAAAAAAAACTCAATGAAAGGGGTTAAATCGATAAATTATTCTATTTTGATTCTTATATAGATATATTTATTTAAAATTTAAATAAAATATGAAAATACAAATAAATTATATATTAATAATATCGAACAAAATATATTAAGTTACATAATTTAAAACAAAAAATTCTAACAATATATTTTATCAAATTGTCATAAAAATTAAATGTAATAATAAAAATAAAAATATATCTACGCGTCTGTGTGGGTTAAAATCTAGTATCTAGTATATTATCAAAAGGGAACCAATCCTGAATATCTACTTAAACAAGGTTGTTGCACCTATTCATTATTAGTCTAACTTATTATGTAAAACCAAATATTATAACTAACCCCTTGTTATAGTAATTAAATAATATCTTCTAACATTCAAATATACCACTTTAATTCATTATTAGTCTAATCTATTATATAAAACTAAATATTATAACCAAGATTTATTATATCAACCAAATAATATATATCTTCTAACATTTAAATAAACTACTTTAGTCTTTAATCCACTCAACGCTTTACATAATGTATTTTGAAAATTTTATTTTATACCGGTAATTCAAGATTATAACCAAAAATCCAATATTTTTTTCAAATATCTATAATACCAAAACATATCTAAATTATCCAAATATACCTACTACACAGAAAACATTTTAGATACTTTGGGTATCCGATTAGGTCGCGGATAGATTCCCATGGATAAATATACAATATAAGTATATTTTTTTCTTGGACCCAGACCCAAAAAAAAACTTGTATTTTTGGGTCGACATCAATTTGGCTTTTCAGGTTTGGTTAAAATGCCCATACACAAGAGAGAGTTAAAGTCTGCATTTAAAATTTCAAATAAAATAATTTTTAAATTATATAATTTTAAAAAATCATCCATATTATACGACTTTGTAAAATAATAATATACAACAATCCCAGAATAATAATTTATATCAAAATTTGTTATAGTAGAAAAAATGCGCTCGAACACACATATGAAAATATAGTATATCCATATATACAATGAATGTTTCATACAATCCCAAGTGAATATTAACAACTTTTGTGTGTGAAAATGATTGAGATAAGAGTAGATATAAATACCAAATTAGTACATAGATCCACATGAGCATATTATTCATCAAAAACACTTTCATATGTATACAAACATTATTAAGTTTTAGGATTAAGTAGCAGCCTCAGGCTCTACCTTTTCCTCCTTTTTGTCTTTGTGGCGTCTGCATAATAAAACAACATTCAATCTTGTGTATTCTAATCCCAGATACCTTCATCCAGAAATTACAAGATGTAAAAGAATATTAGAATAAGCCAGCAGAAAAAACATATCAGCAGGCATCTTCTGGTGTGAAGAAATATGTTAATATTAGGACAATACATAACACAAAATTTTCTCCCATAGGCGTACACACGTGAAGCACAAGGTGACCCTGCAGGGAACTATGCGAAGTCAACAAGTGATGAACAATAACAAAAAAATTAAACTTAAAACTTCTTTCATTTAAATTTCACACGGGACCAACCTGAAGGCCAACTAAAAACTTTTTACCTTCTATTACAGTGAAAAACTTAAATGGAGTGTGTCCCCATCAAGTTGTACAGAAAGCAATATTAATTGACCTTAGCATTGTGAACCTGTTAAACCTTATAGCTGACATGAAAGCTATTGTGACCATCACCAACCTGGATGTGTCTCTCCACCCCAGGAAGTATGACAAATAGGTAAATATTCTGTATGTTTAATAGATAAGTTGCAAATATCAAAGATATTATAAACACATAAACCATATTCTGATCAACAATATAAGGAAATAATCTAAATATTAACTAACTTTTAGACATATATACAATGAATGTTGGGTACAATATCAAGTAGAAATTAACAACTTTTGTGTGTGTAAATGATAGAGATAAGGGTAGATACAAATACCAAATCAGTATATAGATCCACATGAGCATATTATTCATCAAAAACACTTTCATATGTATACAAACATTTATTAAGTCTTAGGATTGGCGAGAATAAAATCACTCTTGGAAAAACGATAAGAGAAACAACAGTGGATAGGAAATACACAGAAATAACATAGGCAGTTAAATATTTGGATCTTAATTCTTGCGAAGAACGATGAGGTACTGCATTCCCGGTTTGGCGTTCTTGATGCGAGTTATCTGTTCTTGTGCTTTGACCTCGACAAGCTCAAATGCTTTCCTCATTGCTTCAACTCCAAAATGTGCAGAT